TTACAACCAGAGGTGGAAAGACTACTAAAATAATCTACTTAAGTAAAGTAAGTTACTTTAATTAACTTTTACTTAAGTACGAGTAAAATTACTGGTATAAAAATGTACAAGTAAAAGTAAAAGTAGCTAATTTTAAATTTATTTAGCATAAACGTTACTTTTTTAACCTCCTAAAAGAACTTATTTATAATGATTTTATATCTTATTTTTACTTATTTAATTTAGTTTAAATTAGTCTTTTGCGATTTAAGGGCACCATATAGTGATTTAGATTTTAGTTCGTTTGACAGATACTTTGCCAAAGCAATGGCTCAAAACAACGTTAGAGACTTTTTATATTATAATGATAAGTTTGAGAATGTTTCCGCTTCATTGTGAAACTGTGGAAGAACAGATTAGACTCTGGCAGGCCGCACTGGACTGTATATGAAGTCATATCCCTATTTACATTCAAACAGGTGGTAGTTTTAATGGGACATCGTAAGCGTTCGCATAATTAATAACTAGTTAACAGCAGGTTGTGCCAACCAACAACAATGTCGTGCACCAATGTCTTTTTGAGCAGAGCTTCTTACCAAACTATGAAAACTTATTTTTTAACTACCAATGCAATGGTACAAGCAGGGTATAATCTATGTCTTATAAGACATGGGCATGATTTTTTTTTGGGGGGGGGTCTCTAAAATATTGATAATATGCTATTTTTGGCATTCATTTACATTGTATGCATCATCATGAATCATGCATAAAACTGGGACCGTCAGCAGACCTTCTCTCCCTCATCCTGTACACTCCCGCTTCCTCTCTGGTAGACCTACAGCGCCCTGCGGACAGTCGGTGATCGTTCCCTCTGGCTGGATGAAGTCTGACACTCTTGATTTTACGTATGATCCATGTGCTACAGCAGCTGGGGACTCTCCGCAGAACTGCTTAACTTTCTAAATTCTTCCATCTCACGGAGAAAAGAGAGGTCAGGTCGAAACAGTGTAGAGAGGTCCCCCCGGGCACACACACACTTACACTGCATAATAAAGCCGTTGTCTTTCTTGCACTTGAAGCCGAAGTGGTCGCGAGCTTTTCCTTGCATTTTTTTTAAAAACCTTAATTACCTTTGATTTAAAATGTACAATACTTTAAACAAAACATACTTAGGTAAAATTTAAATTAAAGATTATGTAAGTACACACACACAAAAAAAACTCAATTACAATACCGTGAGTAACTGTAATTCTTTACTATACTCACCTTCATTATACAGGAAGAGAGGAAAGAGGCCAACAAACATGAGAGGTTGTAGGTGGTACATGGCGTCTATTGGGTTCTGAAGCCCTGGAGGAAAGTAAACCAGCGAGGTGTGCAGTGGAGGAAAATATGGTAAGTAGCTTGCATAACGTTTTAATATCCATTTCTCAGTTATGGTAAAACATAGACACAAATATAAATGTATCGAACAGCCATGTCAAAGGTTACATTGTATTCTTCAGTGACTCAGTACTGACCCAGCTCTGCCTTCTGCATGAGAACCTGAGTGAGGGTCCAGCGGATCCCCCCTATGAAGGACGCCAGCAGCACCATGATGAAGCCCTCCAGGTTGAACTGGGTCGACTCAAATGTAAACATAAACAGACCACTGGAGATCAGCAGGACCACCAGGATCAGGAATGGGTTCTAGGGACGGTGAGAAACAGCGAAGATAAGAAAGGGAGGAACTGATGGATAGAAACAAAGACTTAACACACACAAAGTGGAAAAATCTCTTATTGCAAAATGCATCATTAGTCCCCCCTGCGACCCTGTACGCAGGATAAGTGGTTGACGATGGATGGATGGATCATTAGTCCCCAGCATTTTCTGATCTGTTGCTTACTAAGACAATTATTCTGTACAGGGAAAATGTTCCCCTGAATTAAATATATTTTATATTGCCAGGGAGTCCTGTTGCATTTGAGGAAAGACTAAATATATGTGATGTGAATATAAAGTATATTACATGTATTTTTCTGTAAAGATTTTGAGTGGGGTTTTCAACACATTCCCTGGCGGCCATGTTGGAATGCATTTGCTCTCTTCTGTTCTTGACTGGGAACTGAATTTGCCACTAATGATGTGATCACTTTAGCTCCATAGCTTTGCTGCTTGCTATTATAATCAGGAGACACTGAATTGAAATTACATTGTGTTCATCCACAAAATACTTTAATCAAGAATTAAAATTAAGCACAGAATTTCATGTAATACCATCCCATTATTGTACAGATATTTCAGTCTAGATTAAAGGGGTCAACCTACTGACATTGCTCTTCCTAGAGCCATATCTATACTCAAAATTATGTGATTAAACATAGTGCAGAAGTTAGGTACACATCATTATTTCAGCTGTATGCTTGTTACTGAAAGGGAAGGATCGTATATTTACTTACCACTAAATTACTGAACTGACCTTGACACCCAACGTAACTAAATCTTTGAACTATCTTCATTTTTGTTGTTAAACTAGCCATTCTTTACACATTATTTATACACCTCACTCCACTGAAGGAACATGCTGGGATTGGCTGTGGTTGCCGGGAGATTTGTAACAAAAAATGCACATCTCACATTGATCACCCCTGAAAAAAAAGGAAATAGTCCATAAAAACAAAAAACAAATATTGCCTGCAGGGTGGAAGAAAATGACTCCATGATGGTGAATAAAGCTTTTCAGATATTCTTTATACAGACAAAAAAGCATGGAGTCCTGTCTTTTAGAACCATTAGCAGGAAATGGTATCAAAAATAATCCTTGCCTTGCTGTGGTTCTGCAGTGATTTGAATCAGGGCAGCAGTAGAGTCTATTTAGATTATTTTTAGACTTGGGTCCCAGTGGGTCTTTTAAAAGCTGGGTGGTGATGATGTTTGTGGTAAGAGGCAAATAGGTATTGAAGGTATTTATCACTGCTACATGAGCTTCCAGGCTATACCGATACCTGAATCCCATTTACCTGTAAGTGTACTCACAGATGGAAAAGACTAAATGACCCAAGGTACCTTTTGGTAACGAGCAAGCTGTTCCACCCATTACAAGTCACATGCATTATAACCTTAGACCTTGCAAGATCAGTGTGAAACACTTAATTAGGCATCAACACAGCTCACCATGATGCTTTGCTCCCATGTTTTTTTTTTTGTTTTTCTTTTGTTTGTTTTTTACAGGTATCACTTCCACAGTCGAGGAAACAGGCAGAAGTAACAAAAAAAAAAAAGAAGAAAAGAAGAAGATATTTTTTTTTCATCAGAAATATTAGCACACTGACTGGTCATTTGTATGACTCTAAAATCCAGAAACACAAAAGAATCACTTCCTCTTGCATGCACATGCTAAATGCACGTCATTCTCAAATTCTGTCAGTATGACAGAAAACATAAGTCAGGCAGAAACAATTATATCATTCAGCGATGATGACAGAATTGTTTCTTTCTTGGTGTAGTTTGGGCATTGTGTGGTCAAAATATGACTTCCACAAATGTTTGGAGAAAAAATGGTCACTCACCGGCTCCTCTAGTTTAAAGACCAGGGAGAAAAAGAGGATAAAGAGCACTGCTGATGACTTGGTCATGGTGTACCTTGAATGACAAAATAAGAGCCACATGATAGGATGGAACATTACAATAATTGGGTAAATACAATACTGTATTTACAGTATGTCTGAGGTAGTATCTTCTATTAACAAATCCCACAAACTTACAAGCTAATGGTGATGAAGAGGAAGCTCCAGTTGGAAAGTCCTATATCCAGTGCTGTTGCTAAGGCTGGGTGAGAGGGACATTTTGTAGGACTTTAAGAAACTTGCAATAAATTACGTTATTGCATCATTCTGATGCGTCTGTTAACTGTGAATAAGGAGGTAGAATATCAATGGTGATAATTGTAATAGTTGTACTGTACAGCAGTAAAGATTTCAGCTTTAAGATGGAGAACTGCATGTGATATTTAGTTACTCTGTAAATACAAACAGAAAATAGGTAATTCTAAAAAAAAATAAAAAACATTAAATTTATTATATACATATACACACACACACACATATATATATAAATACACATACATATATATATATATTTATATATATATACACATATACAATATAAATAAACACGACACATTATATATATATATATATATATATATATATATTATATATATATATATATATATATAATATATTAATATATATTATATATATATATAATTATATATATAATAATATAATATATATATATATAATATAATATAATAAATATATAATATATATAATATATATATATATATATATATATATATATATATATAATATATATATATAATATATATATAATATATATATATAAATATAATATATATATAATATATATATATATATATAACATCTCACCTGTGGGAGCCACTTTACGGAGGTAATCTCTCCAGCTCAGAATGATACGGGGTTTCCCTGTCCAGCTCTGCATGGACCGCCGGGTCAGAGCCGACAGGCAGAAGTTGATGGTGAGGTGAACTAACGTCATGAAGAGGGGATAGTGAAACCCCTGAGAGACAGACAAAGAGACAGACAGGGTCATCACGGATGGCCTAGGCAGATCATCCAGTATCTCTGGGTTTTCTCAGGGCCCTTAACCTTGAAACACTGGGAGATGATCTACTCAGGACCTGTGATGACTTTCATTAATCATCCAAAATGAAAGCGTGCATGTCCTGTGTAGAGGGACAGCCTTATTGCTGCAAAACAAACAGGGCTTTGTGAAGTCATTCACTTACCTTCATCAGCCATTTGTTATAGAAGGTGATGCCTATAGAGAAGACATAATAAAGGAGAACTAGTCCAATAGTGCGAATCCCCCGGCAGAGGAACTGGACTGGGCACGCCATCCAGGTCTGCCAGGATCAGCTGTCAGAAAAGACAGCTACTGTAGAAAAGGCATCTCCCAACTGAATCCACATCCCGTCCTAACACCCACAGAGGACTGCTTTAAGACAGCGTGTGGAAGAGGACGAGGGAGGGAAAGAAAAACAAGGTTAGGGTTTAGTTGCATTTGTGAACAGCAATATAACAGAACAAGTAGCTACATAGTTAGTTACCAGAGTTATAAATAAGCCTGATGTGTTATATTATATTAACGCCAAAATTGATTTGACAACCACCAGCAACAGCTAAGTTAGCAGCTAAACCACGTCAGCTAAAAAAGCGGTCGAGCCATATGTTAGCCACAGCGAGCAAACAGGTTATTAAACAGGAACAGAGTCAGCATCCTATTAACTAGACAACACTGGATATTATTAGTTAGCTGATGAACTCACCAGTAGCGACGATGACATCAAATGGCTGTTTGGCTAAGTTTGACAGGTCCAATTGCTCTCTTGGTTAACTAACGTAACGTTAGCTTATAATGACGTTAACGGTACCCCGAGTAGTTTACATTAGCCTGCTATGCAAACTGGTATTGCATTGTTGATATAACGCCAGGTTAATAAAAAAAAACCTCAAAAAATGAATTAGCACCAAGTGAGAGCACAGTGCGCCCCCCCAGTACGTGTCATTCATATGGCGAAACCCTCATTCTGAACTGTATTGATCAATCACACAAGTAACAATGTCCGTGTCTGTTTCCCCATCTACAGGTCACAGGCATGGTGACCTAAGACCTCACTTGAATCAGAATGAACAATTCTTTAATTCGGCGTCAACATATCCCGACAAGAAATAGCATTTTATCATAATATTTTGACTTTGTTGTTTTCACAAGGCTAACTGTTTAACGTTAACTTAAGTTAGCCAAAGTTAACTGTTACAGTGCCATTTACCGAGTTTTCACTAACATAATAACGTTACACACAAAGCGCAACAAAATAAAATGAAAATATGAATTAAGTTAATCAAGTTGTCATACACATGCGGACTTGGCTAGCGTTAGTTAGCAATTTTCCAATGTAGCTAACGTTAACGTTAACGAGCAGTGATCTTCACAGACACGGTTATTTTAAATTGTCATCTTTTTGTATTGAGTTTGGCGTAACGTTATCAGGAGCTAACAAAGAAACCTACCGTGATTCATGTTGACTATATGGTTGAGCAACAAGTGTAAACTTTGTGGTAACGTTATAGTAATAGGCAGATCATTATTCGAAGGACAACAGACTTGAAGACAACCGGCAGGGGCAGTGTTTTCTGAAAGACGTTTTTTTTTTTTGCTCAAACCACATCCAGAGTCGACGACACAGGCGGAAGTCAACACAAACCACGGTTGTGACCCCGCGCTCAGCTACAAGGTACCGTATGTTGCCCTGAATCATCGTGTGTTTAACTTAACAATATATTACCGCTCAGTGAAAGTCAAACAGTTTATCTGCGTGTTTCCAGCAGAATGGCGGATGAGGAGGACGAGACTGGCTTCGACGAGGAGGTGGAGGACGGATCCGGCGGAGTAGATGTCGGCCACGGTGGGAAGAGAAAGAGGCTCTTTTCCAAGGAGCTCCGGTGTATGATGTACGGATTTGGTGACGACCAGAACCCGTATACGGAGTCTGTGGATATTCTGGAGGACCTGGTGATCGAGTTTATCACGGAAATGACCCACAAAGCCATGTCTATCGGACGCCAGGGCCGCGTCCAGGTGGAGGACATCGTTTTCCTAATTCGCAAGGACCCCAGGAAGTTCGCCAGAGTCAAAGACCTGCTGACCATGAACGAAGAGCTGAAGAGAGCCCGGAAGGCTTTTGACGAAGCTAATTATGGCTCATAACCTTGTAATGGGACACTCATCTAATTTGGCGGCTCATTCCTTTTTAAATGCTTTGAATTGTTCATTCTGTCTGTTCGTTGACTTGCTGTCTGAAGTAGACAGTGTTGTTTTTGACATGTGATGTACATTATTTTATATGGTGGTATGACAGTGATGAGCTAAGTGTTCACATGATTCTGTCTGGGACTGTTTAAATAAAGTGACTTAAACAAAGCCTTAATGTGCCCAGTCATTAGTGTTAATTTGTATAGGAGAAGAGACCTGACAGTGACATTTATGGCTCCACATCACAAGCACAAGTGAAAAAAAGTTACATGACCCTAGAAACTGTGCCACCACAGTACCTCAACTTGGTAAACTGTTGTTATGACGACTAGAGCTGAAGCAATTTGCAGAATGTTTGAGCAGTTTTCTAAAGACTAAATTCCCTGTTTTTTCTGTTTTCCTCAGTGTTCTGTGATCATGTGGATACTGAATACTTTGAGCAGTAGTTGGACAAAACAAGACAATTAAAGGCCCTATTCCTGGCCCCTCATAGATTTAGTTGACGTCACCTGTTAAGTGCTTGAGTGCAAGAGGCTGCAAGGATCCAAAATGATAAAATAGGACATCACCTTGCAGCATATCACGAAACCCTTAAGACGCCAAAACGTGAGTTGTGGGGTTGGGACCTTTTTCTTCACGGCCAAGGCACTTAAAGTGACCGACTGTCTGATTTAAAGCAGCATCATACACTTACATTTAAACAGATTTTACTTACTTACCTTCCATGTTTAGGCTACCTTTTTTGAGGCATGCTTCCCCTAGACTATCAACCCTGCACTATGAAATGTGGGTCACTCCCTCGGCAAAGCCTGTAGAGATATAGACTTACAGAAAGCGTACAGCAAGGATGAAAAGGAGAGCGAGAAACCTCATGCGCCCTAAACCTTTGCGGACTTACCATGAGCGTGCCTTAAGGTCTGTGAGTGTGGAGATTGGGATTCAGCTAAAGATGTCACCTTTGACTGGGAAAATGGGATGGAAATATGTTTCTTGAACCTCAAGATGACATTAGCGATCAACAGTCAAGGGGAACTAAGAACTCTGGGCCTGGACAAAAGGTCGATCAATGTCCTGCATTTCATAAAATAATCCTGGTGGCATTTTTTGGTGTCTTCTCTAGGTGTGGGCTCCTCAAAGTGGCACCACCTTGCACCCCCCCCCCCCCCCCCCCCCCCCCCCCCCCCCACACACACACTTTTGAAAGCAGTTACCCCAATCAAGATTTTGTATTCATCACAAAATCTAGTGTCATAGACAAAACTGGCTGGCTGGGGTTCAAACACAATGGACAAAAAGAAGAAACAAACAGGTTTTATTGATATTCCTCAAAACAAAATTTTTTTTTACACAGACCATAAATATGACAGACCAACTACAAGTGAGCATGTGTTATTTCATTTATTCTGCAAATGACTTCTTTGTACAGTGAAGTGGCTGAATTAATTGGTCTAAGCAGCAGGTAACAGGCTGCCGTTTTATCTAGACTACATCTAGATCAGAGTTTTATTGGTAGGAGGGGGGTTCGCTGGTGACACGTGCCTGTTAACGCCATGCATACCGCAAAAGGTGTGTGCAGAGAATTTTCACATTGCAGCCATGCCTTCCTGTCACGGGGTACAGTGTCAGCGCATCATCCATGGGCTGTCTGCATTTACAAGCGAGCTGGGGAAGAGTGTGGCCCAGCCAGCGACCCCCGCCAGGTGCCCTAGCTGTCTGTTGAGGATGTCTATAAGGATGAAGAAGAGAGGCAGAGAACCAGAGGGACAGGATGGAGGAGAGGAAGTGTGGGGAGGGGGAGGGGGGGTGTTGGGGTGAGTCAGTGAGGGGTAGGGTGCGTTCTGGGTTCACAGGGGAATGTCCATGAGTCTTTCTGGTTTTACTGCACATTCTCCATCATCTTGAGGAATTCTGGATAAGAAAAGGAGAGATTGGACAGTGTTAGTGAAATGGAAAATTTCAGCAGTCTTAATTACCTCAGCAAAGTGCAAATTAACTGACACCTACAAAGAGTGTAATACCCTATTCATACAATATATAGTCCATACTCACAAAAGATACATATATACCAAGTAGACAACATTAAGGACGCTAAAATCTCCTCATACTAGTACCAGATATACTGTTAAACAAGAGAAACATAGGTGCTACAAAATACTGAAACATTTTTTTAAGTTAAATCTTAAGTTGCTTTAATCATTTTATTATTTTGTTCTAAATACTTTCTTTTAAGTCTGGTATAATCAATATGTGGAAAAGTGACGTTTTTACATTGACCTAACACCTTCATCATCATCTTGCACATACCGTCAAAGTCCAGCATGCCGTCGGCGTTTTTGTCTCCATCCTTCATCAGCTCATCAATCTCGTCCTCTGTGATGGGCTCGCCGGTGCTGCGGATGATGATTGCGAACTCCTCTCTGTCGATGTAACCGTCGCCGTTCCTGCGCAAAAGACAGAAATGGGTGGGATAGTAAGCATAAACAAACAATTACATAAGTAAATTAAACATTACCCTCATAAAATAAGTAAGTGAACCACGTTCTATACGGTTATAGTGTGTACATACTTGTCGAACACACGGAAGCACTCTGCCAACTCTTCCTCGCTCTTGCCGGCCTGGTCCTCCTTTAGCAGCCTCACCATCATGACCAAGAACTCCTCGAAGTCGATGGTACCGCTACCTGGGGTAATAAAAAGGCCACATAACTGATTAACAATGGTCAGCCAGACCAAAGACCAGTTGTCCCGCGCTCCTTGTGGGACACGGCACTGCGCTCGTCTTTGCGCACAGTTTTACGCAGGAACCAAAAGGACACACTGGAGTTAGGTGAGTCCAAATCTATATTATGTAATATTATATATATATATATCAAGGTTTTGGTTCCAAATAACGTTACATACGGTTAGGCCTACTTTGTTTATTTGTGCTGACGTGAAATACTTGATGAAATGAAAGCGCACTGCTTATGCGTAAAAACACTTATTGCGCACAAAAGGCCTACAGTGTTGCTATCAGAGATACACTGTAGCTATCCGTTGCTCACCGTCCTCATCGACCTCCTCGATGATCTCATCCAACTCCTCTCTTGTCGGGTTCTGGCCCAACATCCTCATCACGGTACCCAACTCCTTGGTGCTGATATCACCGCCACCGTCGGTGTCAAACATGTCGAAGGCGGCCTTGAATTCTGGAAAAATCCGAGTTGAAAGAATGCAGTTCGTTACTCAGAAAGTGGCCCAATGTGTGTTGCCTACTTGGCTGTTCCTAAACGAATTACAGTGGGACATTTACGTTTGTATCATCTGCGTTTCTCCACAGACTGAAAAACGGGTATATCTGCCTCTGTGTGAAACTGAAGTGATGCGTTCTATCACCATTGTGGCATTGCACCAACTACCCGTTGTTCATTCATCCACTTAGTAGCCTACTGGGACTGGATCCACGCAGAGGGTCTAAAATTGTCTGCCTTTTCTAAAGGCGCTCCTGACAGAAAAATAATAAGTTGAAATGAATGATTCATTTCATTTTGATATTTAGAGGAGTGATCCTTGTAAACAGCTAGGCCTCTTATAATTTAATTAGTAATCTGGTACATTGCTGGTTCATGGGCAAAGTAACGACATAGCCTAACTGAAGAAACGCGTTACTGTAGCCTGTACTCACCGGCCAGCATTTCCTCGCTCAGGTAGGAGCGGGCCTCTTGTTGCGCGTCAGTCTGGAAGGAAACATGAGCCACACTGTCACTTCATCATTCACTACCGGCTCGATTTAGACTTCATTGATCATTCCAGTTAAAACCCAGTATATTGAGCCTAAGGATGGCGACGGTAGTGATTCCCATGTCATATACCCCGATCCAATTATTCATTAAAAAAATAATAAGCTATTACTAAAAACACTGTAAATGAAAAGTAAACTATCATCATTTTATTTTAGAAAGATACCATTATGCACAGTACAGATGATACATTTGAGGAATATCACAGGAATATTCAAGAGATCTTGTTGTATTTATACATAACTGTGTGATTACTGTTCCTGGTAATAACGTGCTTCCGTAAGTCACGTGTTGCAGGCTATAGCGGATTCTTGAGCATGGTGAAAATGAGTCCGGCTATTTCAGGCTCAACACATTAGGCTGGCTGTATATGGCCTGCAGACATCCAATCCCCGGGAATCTGTCGCCTAAGCAGAATTCGCACCTTCCCAGCTGACACTCATCCAGCTCCCTCAAAACTCCCCATCTTAACGTTTTATTTAGTAATACGTGTAATGTAACTGATAAAAATGGGAATCTTGCATTCAATATAAATTATTTTAAACTAAACTAGAAATCTTTCTGAAATAGTCCATTTTAAAAATGCGATATTTAGAGAAACAGTAATATTTGGTCATTTTAAGGGAAGCCAACAGATAAACATCTAAACCTTATCAACAGACGGAACCATGCATCTCAACAACTCAGTCGATTGGTTTTTAAACTTCCACGTGCCTTTATTGCTCAATCAATAAACCTCCAACTCACAGACTCTTATTATGGATTAATGGCTGATTGACCGGCCAAATTGGAATAGTTCAAGGGTCATTTTTACAAGTGATTGTTCTTACCATGTTTGTGGATTAGCTTTTCCCCCCCAAATATCCAAGGAAAAAAGAAAAGCCCAAAGGAGTGGTCAATCCGTGTGCACCCCAACAGAGAGACTAGACGTCAAGTGAAGGTTCAGACACACTTTAAACGGGACAGCCAGGTCCCGCCCCCTGCCTCTCACAGGCCTCCAGATTTAGTATCCTGAACTTTTAGGGTTCTGGGGCCACAGCAAGCCAATCACATTTTGGAGAGGAAATCTCTTGTTTCTTGAAGTTGCAGGGTTGAGAATGTAAAAGAGGTAAAACTGGAGTTTTTTTGCACTTTTGTGATCTAGGTCAAGGTAGAAGAATCTACAAGAAAGAACAGAGATGTAAAGGGAATAATGCCAATAGGAATATGCAAAAGATGCAGATGATATTACATCGTCTTTCACCTGGTTTGTTAAAACAGTGATTATCAGAGGTAGGGTGTCAGAAAGAACAGTGACATACTGTAAAAACAATCTAAACTGAAAAGCAAAACACGCTTTAAAAAAACTAATTAATGCATTAAGTTACTCCCTTTCAGTTGGGAACAAATCTATACATCTTGCAGCTGGTCTGTGCACACTGTTGATTTCTATTTAGGCCTTGTAAATATAAGACAGTGGATGAGAAGATGGAGCCAAAGATTTTAAAGTAGGTTATGGGTTTTGTGATGATGGCGTTTCAATCTGGGCGTGAAACTCAAAACCACCGAAGAAAAACGCTGCGGGGCTGGACCCCATCTCACCCAACCCCCGACCCTCCTCTCACTGCCTCCACTCCTTTAGCCGTTCCCTGAATAGCAGGCAGAATTAGGCTTAGAGACGACATGGACGTGAGGCAAGCACCCACACATCGCGGTGCCGGTTGCCTGATAAACACAACCTGATGCTCCTTATTTGGGGGGCGGTTCCTGAAGGGAGGGCCTTGAGGTGAGAGACAGGGGAGACAGGAGAGGAGGATAGGATGCTGATTTGGGGAGCAGCCATGAAGAAGGGGGAGGGATGTTGCTTTTGAGAAATGGTAGGGGGCTTGCAGGCTATATACCCGGAGGAAGACCTGCAGGGATAATGAACTCATCCGCTCTAACCTCGACTGACTGCTCGGCTTCTCTTCTGTGCTGGGAGACCACTGCTTGAAGATCACTGACAGAGAGTTATCACAGACTTATGCGGAGAAAAAATTGGAAGAGATCCGTTTTAACCAGATAACTGAACATTTCCTCAGATATCACAGTTCTCTAGTGTTGAATGAGACTGGGAGGTTGGGATACGGCACTGTTCATGCAAATAGAGGCACTTCAAAATACAGCATGGAGGCTAGGTTGAAGTTGCCACTGGAATAGGGAGATAAGACCAGTTGTCGTTGAACAAATGTGTGTCTTTATGTGTAAAGGAAGGATGTTGTTGGTGTCGTAAGTGCATGTGCTTGCGTGTCAGTGTCTATGATGTGTGGTTGTGCAAATCTATGTATATATGAAAATCCTAAGGCCAGATAGACAGAAGTCCTACAAAGACCACGGAGGGATTCATAAAAGATTGAAACAGATGAGATAAGACGTGTCAGGCATGCATGGCAGAATAATTTACAAAGATGAACAAGGAGAAAGTGGATTTATTTAGAAAGCACAGAACAGGTTGGGGAAGATTTAGTTTTGAGGAGGAGGTGGGGCTTAAGTGGTGTAGCATTTCTGGAGAAACAGCAGCTGCCAAGGGGACAGCTGGGTGGCCGGCTCAAAAAGGCGATCAGGGAAGGTTCCTTCGTCTTAAAAGGTTTGAACGGATATTTATAGATATCCTCACTGAGCCCCTGGGTTTAATATGAGAAGGAAAAGGGGAGTGTGGGTTAAGGTATTTCACTTGTACCCATTTAGATGTCTCAGAAGCTACATCATATTCACAATTGTACAAGGTTTTACAGCATTTAGAGTTTGCTCTGAGCACAATTCCATCACACAGCATGCTTCATATTCTCTCTGAGGAAGGGTCACCAAGTGAGCAAGAATGTAGATCTGGTCTCATTACTGAACGTTCTCCATCATCTTGAGAAACTCTGGAGAGAGAAAGAAAGGGCACCAGTCAGTTACTCAAGTCCACTCACAAGCTCAGCCCACAGTGTGTACTCAAAGCCTGTATGTGAGGTTATGGGATTCAAATCATGGAGAACATGTGATTGTAATGCATAAATGTATATAATGAGCAATTCTTAATCCCTGTCACTGCAAGTCTGCTTCTTTCAGCTGTGATCATTTTTAAATAAGGATTAATATTTCTTTGTTTGCTCTATTTATATGCTCAGAGTATTAGACTCTCGATTTGTGATGGTGTAAACTGTAACTTAATGAAAAGGCAAGTAAAAGCAATCGCTCTACCTTTTAACAGCACAGAGAGTTGCGAAATTATATCAAGATTTAGGTTACTCTAAATATATGTGTTTACCTTCCTCCCCATCCCTGATTACTGTCAGATTCATATTGTCTTTACATTAAATAATCTTAGTCAAGCAAAAAAAAGAAATGTGAAGGAATAGTTCTCACCAATAGTTAGAAGAAGAGAAATTGATACCACGGCATACACATGTTATATCATTATCTTCTCTTTTTCTTTTGTTATGTCCATATTCTCTCTGTAAATAAGTTATTTATTTATTTTAAGATATTTTACGGGCACTTTCACACCACTTGATTATGACAGCAGAGAGACGGGGTAAGGCCGGGGAGAGAGAGGGGACAACACACAGCAAAGGGCTTGGGCCTGCCCCGACACATGGCACTCGCCAGGTGAGCCACCATGTATTAGTTATATTTCTGTTGAGATTATTGTCTTTTAAAAAAAAACTAAAAACTGGACATGGGGAAACAGCTCTGTCCAAAGTTCACAAAATCTGCCTACCAGCACCTCTAAAGCTTAGGCTACTAACTAACACGTTATGTTTTGTTTGTTTGCTAAAAATATCAATTAGCATGCATATTGCTGAATATTCAGGGTTTATGTGCCGGGCTATTTCTTGGCCAGGTAGAGTGACTTCCTGGAGTCACTGTGAAGTTGCCAGTAGAGACTCCAGAAAGCCACAATGAACAGTTGTTTTTGTACAGAAAGAGCCAGGCTGGCTGTTACCTTCTGTTCTAGTCTTTATGCCAAGCCAACAGGCAGCTGGCTCCAGCTTTCTATTGTATGGACAGAGAACTCTCCAAAAGAAAGAGAATAAGTATGATCCAAAATGTCAAACTATTCCTATAACTTCTGCTCAATATACAGCCGACACTGCCTCCCTCATATGCAAAATATTTTCTGAAGAAACTCTTCTCGTTCTGTAGCTTAAACCTACCATCAAAATCAATCTTTCCATCTTTGTTTGTATCTGCTTCCCCGAACATCTCATCAATATCTTCTTCTACGACTGGTTCTCCAGTGAGATGTAGGATGTCTCCAAACTCCTCCCGGTCAACGAAACCATCTCCGTTCCTGTGGATAAAAAAAGCAATATTGAAATCACGGAGTGAAAACTAACTTCTCACCTCCCTGACCTCTTACACCTACACACTAACATACACCACAGATTCTTATTAAAATACTATTATATTCTGACAGCCATAACTGTTGCCTGTGGCTAAACTAGAGTCCAATAATTTTAATTTAGATTAACCTTTTCCATAAATTTGATTGTTAAAGAATCTTTACCAATACATGTACTAAGTGGGACATTTTGCAGATGAAAAATGTCCCAGTGCTCTATGTGGTCTAAACCTGTAAGGGTGTCAGAGTTTCTGAAAAGTGGTCACAATACTGTGTATTGGCTGGACTCTGGTCCAAACTGCAAAACACTTTAGAATCAGCCATGGCTCACCATGAGAAAAAACAATGTGATTTTGGACAAACTGCTATGGTGAACATATTGGTAAACAGTTTATTTCTGGCCACTCGGTGAATATCAGTCCAGTTATCACCATTATTTTAGTTCTGTTTTGGTTTCTATTTAGCTAAAAAAGAGCTGTCTGCTGTGGCTGGAAAGTTTGACGAGAGGGGAATGTGTTGGCCACAAAACCAAAATAATGACCTGAAAGACGGCATACAGCTGTGTAGACCTGTTGTTAATATAAAAATATTCATTACTGCAGCTTTAATGTGGCTATAATAGATATTTTGTAATATTCTTTCAAATGACAATATGAAAACAATGTGACAATGTGAAAGGGGAGAGTTGTTGTGATAAATCTACTGAAAATTCTCACCTTTATCTACAGCTCCTGTTGGCTTTACAGAACTTTTTAGTGAGATTCAGCTCATTGTCTTACTGTCTGCGCACAACTCACTGCTCTTGTAGCTTAATTTTCAGCCACAGCAGACTGTTGTTTTCAGAGAAAAAACCTAAAAACCCACCATACACTAGCTGAGAAACAGCAGACAGACAAAGTTAGCGAACAGCTTATGAACATTTGGCCAAGCATTTAGCAGCTAAGGAACCAGATATTTCGCTCAGAGTAAATATTAGCCTTACATTCACCAGGCAACCACAAACACAACTCCATAATAATGATAATTCTTCTCTGTAACTGCGGGATTTGTGAAAATGCAACTGCTTGGTAACAAGTTTGCCATTTTGATTTAAAGGGCTCTATTTTAACTACTCAAGTGGGTGGCGCAGTTGCATTTGGGGCGTGTCCAACTCCAATTTTGCTAGTTTAACGGTGGAAAAAACTGTCAGTTCGCCAGGCTCATGGTTCAGAAGGGTTGTACTTAGTCTGTGGATTAGTCATCAGTGTGTTTTGGGCATAACATGCAATACACCAATCAGTGTCATCTCCCTTTCCCTTTAAAAGCCAGGTGTGCGTGTACCATGGCGCATTGTCATTATAATGGATCAGTTGATTGACTGAATAGCAGACTCACAGCAGAGGGGGGGTATGGACAGAAGTGTAGATGTGATATAAAAAACGCCTCTGATCATTAAGTCTAATGTTACTCTGCAGCTCTGCGGTTTTTCAGTGAAGTGTCTGAACTGCTGACTGGAGTCTGTTAACAGACGGACAGACGCTGTCTCCTCTATGAAACGTCTGGATCCTCACTGCGCTGCATTATTATAAACTATGATGAACTGGTCGTGGGTCACATCTCTCTCTTTTATGATTCTTTTATGATTTACTTTCAAGGTTTGAGAGGCTGCTAGTCATAAACTTGACATGACAGGACAGAGGAAACTCTCCAGAGGACACAAAATTCCACTCATAGCTTTTGAAATAATTTAGACCCAGTGGAGCTCAGGATTGATCAGGAGGACGGCTGCTTTACTCCAGACCGTTTCATTGTTTCAACCTGGACTGTGTGTGAGACCTTTTGGATGTGGAGAAGAACACAGAAGATCCTGACCAAACCTGTTGGCGTGTTTGGAGATTTTAACAATCAATGAAGTGACGTTGCTGTGCCTCGCGCGTAAATGCTCACAGCGTCTCTCTTACCATCGGAGTAACGCGCCCCTAAAATAACAAAAAACAGCGAAATACTGCAGCGTTGAATTTAAACCTGTTTTTATTTTTGGTCAATGGTGCAATCGCCTTCTGCTGCCTCAAGATAGCAATGCACAAACAATTTGCCTGACCTCACCTCATTTCAAGACCAACACTCCCATGGGCACACTGATGGGCGCATTTGCATTTGCTATTTAAACGCTTGACAACTGCGTCAGTTGAAGCTGCGCTTTTCGCCACTGTGCAAGATAGGGCCCAAGGGGTAATGACATGTCAGTGCTGTGTTCACAACTTGTTTCCGCTGCCCCAAGTGGCCAAAACTTTTGTTACAACTTTTACGTGCAACTTGCATCACTTTTGTTCCCGAAATTAAATATTATGAGAAACTGATATGTCCTATTCCTAAATTTGTAATTGTAGCAAATATCCAAGAATAGTGAGAGTGAATCAGTGCAAATTGGTAATGTCTACAGTGCCTACAATATTTTGTGAAAAATGCATTTTTCTCTTGCTCAGTTACAGTTGGTCAATTGGATGTATGGTAAGTTTTCCAATGCAATGTCAAGACAGACTGGGTGTACTATCACGTGTGATTTCTAAGTAGACTTTAGCCCCAGCGCAACATGAAATCTTGAAGCAGCAACATGTGGGGTTTGCGTTTGTCTTTCTGATGGTATTGGGTGTCATACTTGTCAAAAATACGGAAGCATTCCGAAAGCTCTTCTTCACTCTTTCCGGCCTGGTCCTCCTTTAACTGTTGCACCATCATGACCAAGAACTCCTCGAAGTCAATGGTACCGCTGCCTGAGGAGAGGGGAGGTGAATAAGTGAGGAAGGCGAGGGCAGGAACAAAGTGAAAGGTGAGATGACGAGAAGGAGGCTACACGTGCTGTGATACCTGAGTTCCAGCTACACTTAAACATTGTTTGAAGGTATGTTTTGGTAATTTTTAACTATTCATGATATTTCTTGCATTCTCACAAGTAGTTTGACATTAAGTGTAATTTTATGTCTCGTCAACTTCCCTTGTGATTTTCTATTTACTACTGTATTACTATATTTACTATTCCCCAAATGGCCTTTGCTAACCCTTAGTTATAGGGGCACTCCACAGATTTCACACATACATTTCAGTTTACTCATCATGAGTAATCCTACTCCTGTGTAGACAGCTGCATAACGTCTCCTGTAGTTCTGGAGGGGGCATTTTGAAGTCTGAAAATAACCCTGATGATGTCATCAGGGTTATCTTGAGTAAGGCTTGAGACTTCAGATATCTGACAATAAATCTGTATCATCAGTGAGCAGCAGTCCTTCTTGTCTTTTGTCTTTTATCACCAGATCTTAAGGAAGGCAGGATCAATTTTAGGGAGCCCCAGCCTATCTTCTCTTTTAATCTTATCTTTTCAGGTCAGAGGTAACGGGTTTCCAGAGCCAAGTGCAATAGATTTCAAATATTTTCTTTTGTCCCTAATGCAATAAGCATGCACATTAAGGTAACAGTTTTATGCACTTTCTGCTTATACTTAGCACTGCAGCACTTTATCTTATCTAATCCTATAAAATACATCTTATAGATATTATTGTTGTGCTGTTATGTGTACACTGACATTGCTTATCTGTGCTCTGCTGCAAGACAAATGTCCCTCAGTAGGAAAATAAATAACTCAATTAACTGATCTGAAAATGTTATTGAAATGCTTTGTGGGTATTGCCAACCATATTGGAGCTTGACTGATACTGAGAACTATAAGTCAGGATATCTTAGCCTCTGCTGCTTAAAAGTTGACCATTCTTTTCTGAATCTGTCTCTGCCCCAGCTTTATAGAAGTAAATACAAAATTGCTGAAATTGCTGAATATTTTAATGCTTAAAACATAGCTTTGTCTTCTGGCTTTCCTGTTGAACTGGCCGCAGTAAATGGAGAAATTAGTTATTCTGCGTCTGCTGTACAGACAATAGTACACAAAAGAAAGCTAAAGAACCAGGAAACAAAATAAAAATCTCAACAAGCAGCTTGATCCCATCAGTCATCCTTAAATGCCAATGCATTAGGATGCAAGATCCGTTTTCTATTTGTTAATCACACAGTATCTCACCATCCTCATCAACCTCCTCAATGATGGCATCCAACTCCTCCCTTGATGGGTTCTGGCCCAGCATCCTCATCACAGTACCTAACTCCTTGGTGCTGATGTCACCGCCACCGTCTGTATCGAACATGTCGAAGGCAGCCTTGAACTCTGGAGGAGAGAAGGAGATACTTCAAATTTGGTTGAAACTGGCAGAACTTTGGAAAGTTATAACAGCCCAGAAATACTCATTTTCTGCTGTCTGAAAAAATGGCAACATGTGATTCATTTATTACACAACACAAAGGGCCAAAGGGAACAAAAATCCGTCAACTGGTGCAATTTCTGAGAAGGATTTTCAGAAAACCATTTCTAGTCACCATATTCAATCTGAATCGTTAAAAACAGCAGGAAGCTGTTGAAGCATGTGAAAATCAGCAGAGGAACCTAATCAAGTGTAATCCACCAATTGATTCTTTTAGGGAAGCGGTACAGACCTGCAATCATCTCCTCAGTCAGGAAGGAGCGGGCATCGCTTTGGGCGTCAGTGGGCTTAAAAAGCAGAAAAGGTGGGAAGGGAAGTAGTGAAAGAAGGAAATGAGAGGTAGACAGAGAGAGAGAAGTTATCGTTCCTGTCAGCTGTATGAAACATGAAGCTGTATAACGATATCACATGTATGGTTATTGCCAGAACAGGATGTAAGGAGTGATTTTGAAAATAAGACAGCTGCTGAAGAAAATAATCTTCATCAGGTGTCAACCACTCACACACACACATCTGGAGGCTGTTAACTAGCATCACATGAGCTGTCTTAAGAAGTGCTTTGCCATTTATTGTGTTTACAGCCCCCTGTGATTTGAAAACCTGTCAGTCTATATAATAATAATAATAATAATAATAATAATTTCTTAGCCCATTTCCTACAATTCCTGTGCTGTAGATTACTGGTGACCACTTTTCAAGTGATACTAAAGTGTAATTGACTTTTTTAAAGTGTTCTGCTTTTTTGCAGTATGAAAATTAAGATGCAAGTTGTATCTTGTTTAACTGTTTGGTAGATTAAAATCATAGCTGCATTTAAACTCCATGATAAAAAAGAGTGGAAATAAATACTTGCCTGGAAGGTAAAAAAACATCTAAAAAATACATCATACTGTCATTATTGGTAATATACAGTATGCCTGAGTTGAAGTAAATATGTGCTAAACGTGTATTTTTGTATGTTTTAGTGGGATAAAATATGCTTAAAAGTTCATATGATCCTCCGCTGGTACACTCTGGTCACTCTACCTCCTTATAGTTAAGCCTTGTTTCACCATCGAGCCAGAGAAAACCAAAAGAGAAACCTAAAGCCTGTGACAGAACTATCTATGACAAAGTAACAGCCAAGGACTGGAAATAGCCTTATGTCAGGTAAGAAGTCATGTTTAATCCTCTGCCAGCTGTCTGTACTTGTTAATGATGGTTCTTAAAGGGGAACACCACTCAATGTCAAACATGTTATTACCACATTAAGACTTTTTTTTTATCAGGAAGACGTGGCAGATGGCAGAACGTCGAGGTTTTATGCTGAAACTGGTTTTAATCTCTGCTGTTCCAGTCTGAGTCAACAACGTGTATCCTTCCCACTGGCAGTTGTTCTCCCAGTCTTTCCATCTTTCCAGTTTGTTCTTATATCCAAACCTTATGTCTGATGACATCGCTGTTTACACTGCACTGTAGGTCACACATCCAATGGGAATCTTTCTTGACAGTCTTAATCTTGTTTATAATGCAAACAATTTGAAACGGCAAGAACAACCATCAGTACTTGTCCCAAACATTGTTTTAGTTTTCTAAAAGGACAGTTGTTGAGAACTACTCACTAGTCAAATTGAGTGTTATTCCCCTTTAATTGTTACATAAACTCCACTGTACTTCAGGAGCACACTAACTTATTTTCCCTCTTTGCTTACCAGAATCTCATTAATATCATAACATATGGAAGTTTAAATAAACCCACTCATTAGTTTATGCTAAAGCTATTTTTAAGGTGAGACGTGGGAGAGGATTTGAGAGGGATTCTTTTCAAGGTGAATGTCAGAAGTTAGGACTCTCTTCTCACTTTACTCAGCTGTGTACTTTCTATTTTTAGTATCACTCCCTCCAACCTAAATATCAATAATATTGAGTTTAGTTACAAAGTAATGGAACACAAAAGCAGAGTAAAATCACATCAGTCTGTAAACAGCGAAGAGGAATTACAGAAGTTTCCAACAGCAGGTTACCAGTCAGGAAAATATGTTTCTCTGTCTGTAGCAAACATCATAAAACCCAAACTAATTTCCTCAAAATTCAGGAATTCCAAGAGAGAAAACATCCCTAGTGAAGAAATCCAGCTGATAACCCAGCTGTGCTGCAAACGAGGGCTTGCTGGGTGAACGTGGCTGAGCAGAAGAAGTTTTTCGTCATAAATTAATTTCCATCTTCTGTTATCTGGCTTCCTTCCACATCAGTTGAAAACAAAAGCAAATCCTCAAAGATTCACTAAAATTAAATTTCCTTCTCCTTGTGGTTTCCATTTTACCTCCTTGACAGTTTTCGGATTCTTACCATGGCGGCTGGCTGTGTTGAACAACAGACACCAGGAAAAACGACAGATGTCGGGGAAAGAAAGTCTCCCTTCACAGTTCAGGTTGCACTGTGGCTTTCCTCCCCTCCATAAGTACCCTCTCATCCCAGGACACTTTTACTGAAAATGATCAGGATTGGGTAAGCGGCCCCCTCCTCAGACAAGAGACAGCCAATCAAATCCAACTTTAGTTTGTGCCCTCGTACAATCTCCTGATGGACATCCCCTTGTGTGGCACACTCTAATCAACCATATTTAGATAACAGACAAGCTCAGTGACATTTATTTAAAAAAAAAGAAAACACAGTGCAGGCATCAGGCAGCTGGAGGTTATTTTGGCAGAGGATCAACTGAGCATCTCAGTGCAGATAGACACTTGATTTCACATACTTTACAAGAACCATGCAGGCACGCTCACACACATCACATGCACGCTCACACACATCACATGCACGCTCACACACAGATTAACACCTCCATGCGTGCACAGATTCTCCACCCCTTTCGTAGTGTCCGTTAACCCATCTATCAGCCTGTCTCCCTGTCCTCACTGCCGCTGACTTGCCCTTGCACTTATGACATTGTAATTTAAGAGGCGTGCAAATGGACTTTTCACAATCTCACACAGCTGTACCCCATCTTTAACCATTTTAACTGTTGGGTTCCCAATCCATCAACAAGTAAACAAACAAAACCATCTCATATAACCACAAACTCGCGACCCAATTAGTATGTCACTCAGTCTCAAGGCTTACTGGAGAACTGAAGTGAAACCAGAATTCTGTTCCTGTAAATAACTAATAATCCAGCCTTGGAATGTAACCTTGCTCAACAGTATGTCATATGTGGCTTGCTTCATATAATTAGGTAAGAACCAAAGTTTTTGGAAAAACTTAGTCAATCTTCTGTTTTTCAGCGGCCTTTACAAAACCCCATCCCCTACAAGCCCAGCTAGACCTTGATATTTAGCAGGTCTTGTTTACCATGTTCACCATCTTAATTTACTGTGTTAGCATGCTAATACTTGCTAATTAGCACTATATACAAAGCATAGCGGAGGCTGATGAAAATATCATTAGTTTTGCAGGTATTTGGTCAAAATTCTTTGACACAGGGATGGGAAAGGATCACCAGTTATTAGAATTCCTCCTGAGCGGAACGTGTCTGTCCCAAAGTTGAAAGCCAATCCGTCAAGTCGCTGTAGCAGTTTGAACAGAAGTTCAATATCACCCCTAACCCAGTTATTAAAAAGGAAACCTAAAATAACAAATTCAAATTCAAATGAAAGTAAATGACTAATTACAATCAGCACATAAGAGTGATATATACAGTAATAATCAAAAGGGTGCAATGCAAAACAATAATTAACAAACACAACATATTAGATAATTAACCCAGCAAGAAGAAAAGGAAAAAAAATCATGGTAATGTCATTAGTTTAGCTTTCAAATGAGACAATTTTTTTTCAATCTTTTGACACAACTTATTCAAATACACACTCAAGCCTCAAGCTCAGGGGTGTACTTGGTGGCAAAAACACACACAGACTTCCTGTGCTGTCTATTCATATTTTCTTCCTCTCCTCTGTGTAAGGGATTTCACATGGCGAACATTTGCCTGCACATAATAAAAAAATGTTTTTGATATTCATGGCCAGGGTTGGTCAGTATTTATGATATATATATGGAAATAGTATTTTTTTGTTTCATATTTTGCACCAAAATACTTTAGTGTTTTGTAGTTTAAAATATAAAATACTTTGTGAGAAGTCTACATGATGACATCATTAAAATGCTGCCTCTGATTGGTGCTTGCTCAGTAATTTGCTCAGACTTGTTGAGATCAGAACAGACAGATCCAGACCAAAAGAAGAAGGTGAAGGTGAAATATGTGTGGGTTTCCATCACTTTCCATCCATTTTGTAGCTCATGTTAAGTTTTGGTGTTCATTTTAGTAGCCTAGGCTAAATCATTGGGTACGTAATGTTCTAACTAATTACTTGACCTGAGAAGAAGCTCACATATTAACATTAGCTTTCTACTTCCAGCCTATGTTAGGTTTCAGAGTTGAGCAAACTGTTAGTTAAACATTAAACTCTTACTTTAAAGCAACATTATGCTGCTATATAAATAAGGACAGCTGGACATTTGTTGTAATTACATTACCATCAAGAACTAGCAAGTCTCCAACTTGGCTAGCACACCCAAACATCAAGCAAATGCAACAACACAAGACATAGCAATATTAGCTCAACTGTGTATACAGAAAGAAGGCCAGCTCGGCGTCTGTCTTGCAACCTTTCATGTCTAAAAAGCTCTCGTCAATGTCCAGCAGCCTCTTGCATTGGCCACTCTCTTTTTCATATAGCTTGCTTGCTGAAGAGTTTTGTTGATGCTTTGTTCTCACAATAGAAATCCTGCCCGTGACGTCAGTGCTATGTGGTGCCAGGCCGAGCTCGCACGGCCCAGAGAGGCAATGACAGTAAAGAATCTCAACCTGTTATAAGTCAGTGACCAATCTAAATGATTTTGAAGCTGTTTTTTTAGATTTTAAGATAAAAATACTGCATAATGTTGCTTTAAAACCAGTTTTCATCTGGGTGATCACAGGGATATGTATCAATATTTGATGGTTGCATCTGTCAGATTTATCGCCTGAGAAATGCTGTTTCTCTCAAAAACTGTCCGATTAATCAGCTGAGTCAGTGTACTGGTGCAAAGCAGGCCGATACATAAAAGGTAAGCAAAGTGATTTCATAGTACCTTGGAAATGTATTTTAGAAATGCATTGATGTTATTTTGCCCATCCCTTTCCATGGCTCCTTCAGGATAAACTGAATCTAGGGCCATCATCAGGTCAAAATTTTGCCAATTCTTTGGTTTATGCGCAAATTCGTGCAAAATAACGTTCCCAAAAGCCTCACCTGCACTTTGTGTGTTTAGTGCAAGTCAGCAAACCTTAGCATGCTAACATGGTAAACTACAACAAGTCCTCTAAATTAAAGGACAAAATACATTTTCCTTGTCCCCTAGAATGACACATAAGCATTTTCGCTATTGTCAGGGCGACATTGTTTCTTCCAAGGTCGTACAAATCACTGTAAGAAAGGTTTTTGTTTTGTTTTTTTTAAATCGGACAACGCTATGGTTAAAGTTTTGTTAGGTTTAAGGAAATATCAATGTTCGGGTTAAAATTAATACTTTGGTAAGGTTGGGGGACATTTGTCATAGTTAAAAAAACAATGTTGGCTGTTCGTAGGAAACAGGAAATGAGGAGCGTTCTCCTGTGTTAATGTCTGATGTTTTGTTGGCCCAACCACCTCGTAAAATAACACGGTGACTGTGGCTAACAGTATCTGCTAAACAGCATGTTAGCATTGTGTGACCATAGCATGTCGATATTTGCATTTGTTTTTGAACTGTCTGAATGGAGCTCGCAATATGGAGGGGATATATTTCTTATTTTTGAGTTTTTAAAAAACAAACACACATTTGCTGTGTATATGTACATGCTGTCCATGTGCTGTGATTATATAGGGCAAAGGAGTGTTGTGTTGTGTTGTGTTGTGTTGTGTTGTGTTTTGTTGTTGAAGACATTAAATACATTATTTAAAACAAATACTATGGATTCTCCCCTTCTCTTTACTACAAACTCCATACCTTTTCTCCATACTTTTATTCTCTAGACAACACTCCTCTCCCTTTTGCTATTCTCTATGTTTTGATCTGGATCATCTTCTTTTTCCATCTTAACCTCTTCTCACCCCCCCTCAGGGCCACAGAGTAAGATCAGCTTCAATGCCGTCCAACTTATGTCACGGCCCTCCATGAGTGCCCGTTTGGTTCCTGACTGACAGCACCAGCTGATGCTCTCCCCGACTCAAGAATTTCCAGGAGTGCTCCCCCTCTAGTTTGCTGAGAGAAAAAGGTGGAAGATTTTTGTTTGCAGAGAAATAACGAAAGACCATGAGGACATTGCTTGTTCTGTTTTAATCATTCTTCTTTTTCTCTTTCTTCCTTCATCTCCTCCTCTTTCCAGCCTCTTCTTTTCTACCTCATTCTATTCCTGGACATTCCCCGGGGAGCAGCTGAACCTTCTAGACAAACACACCCTATATAAGGCTGGAGGTATGCCATCACTCCTCCCACTCCAGCCCTCTATCCCTCCATCCCAATCCCTCCATTATTCCTCTTATGCCTCTCTCTGTCCCTTTCCTCACTATCCCTTCTCACTGGCCACCCTTCTCTATGCCTCTCCAACAACCATGTCACTCCTTGATGTCCTTTACCCCCAATGCAGTGATGTTCAGGGGTACTTAAAAAAAATCACTAACAAAAAACATTTGAATGAGGCTTACAGTTTTTGAATTTGTGTTGGGACTGCATCAGAGAGGTGTTAATTAAATTATTAGTATAGTTTGTAGTAGTAGTATTTTGATTCAAGTGTTCACATGAATCAACTCTCTTCAGTTGGAACAAGTGAGCACAACTACAAAATCATATATTTTAACAGATTCAGCCCACTTTCAAAACCCACAAAGATCTTTCTCAGTTTGTGTGATACCTCATTAAAAACCTTTTGAATCTTGTGACAAACCACCAACAGTGAGTGAAGCAGCTTGTCTTTGTTTAACACTTAAGAAACCAAACAAGGGGTCCCCAACAAAAAGGGGGATAATTTATTTTCACTATCCAAAAGTAACAGAGTAACAGAACGCAAGACTATTTTGGTCATGGGTTTCATATGCTTTCTGGAATAAAACATCTAACAGCCAAAATCCTGTCAGATGGGCGATCCGAGGACAACATTTTATCAATTTATCATTTTATCCATGGTCTAATTTGTGTCAGTTTAGGGGTCCTTAATGTGAAAAGGTTTGAGAACCACTGAACTGGAGAATATAAATAAATTGCATTTAAAAAAATATTCAGACCCCTTTCCCTTTCTTTATGTTGTTTATGTTGTAGCTTTATGCTAAAATTGTTCATTTTTTCAACTCATTAAACCATGATTTTAGCATTTTTAGCAAATTTATTAATAAGAAAAAAAATGGAAATATCTCATTGACATAAGTATACAGACCCTTAAAGGGGCTTATGTAGTAGGGAGTGACCCCGAATAGTGGAAGATTCGA